GCTAATATTATTCTGTGTTTTGTTTTGTTCCAATGCTCTAACTTCTTCTGTAGGCATAGGTTTTAGATGACAAAGTTCCTTCCTGTTGCAGATGTATGTTAGCCAGAGCAGGCTGTGGAGTGGCTGCATTTCAGTGAGATGGTGTTTAATGCACAGTGCTGTGATCATGATGTTCCATGCAGGCACAAGTTGAGATAGTGTGGTTGGGTAAAATACCACTAAAAATGGCCAGGTTGCTTTAAGTGTCTTACAGGGATCTGTTTAAAAATGAGAGTGTCTGGGAAAAGCCTAATGCAGACTGAATGTAGAGAGAGGTGTAAGGAAAATCCTGTTAGTATCCTAAAGAAGTTTATAGAATCCTAATAGTTGCCACTGTTTGGAGATAGGTTTGGAATACTTTTTTCACTGCTGTGTTGCTGTATATGAGAGAAGGGAAATGTATATGACAGGCAGGGGGATGTGTAAGGCTCTGTCACTTTATACAGAGCTCTGTTGTAGGTATTGCAGTATTGGATAAGGCAAGATATTTACATTTGTTTTATCTATTCTCCAGCTAAAAAGACTACTCCTTTATTGAACTTCTTGAAAAATAAACAGGTAAGACTTACCTCCAGAATTTTCTTGTTGTTTGCAAGTACAGTTTGGTCATTGTATGCTGATACATTTCTGCCCTTCTTTCTGAAGAAGGAGCTTTTGACCTGACTTGTCAACTTCTGGTTCATATATTTTAAAGGAGTAGAATGTTGAAATGATGGTGCTTTGGATACATTCTGCTCACAGCAAAATACCTCTTTTTGCACTGACAAAACAGATTCATTGTAGAGCTTCCATTTTTAGTGCAGTATGGCTGAGGTCCTTGTAAGTGATCCTTCTCCTGATGTTATTTTAACTTTTAGCAATGGAGAAAAGCAGAGGTGGGGCAGATTTAATTAAAGTTGGAATGATAAAGTTTGAGGCCACTGATGTATTTGAGTTTTTTAAGACAAATTAAGTTTAAGACAAATTAAGTACAAGTTAAGGCTTATGAGTAAAAAAAAATACTGCTGCAACATGTTCAGGTTCACAGCAGCAACAGAGATGACAGGACTTTTTTTTTTTCCTTTTATAATAGAGGCAGCTTTGAGGTGAGTTGTTTGATGGCTTAAAGAGATGTTTTCTTCTGTGGAGAGACACTTTCTCTTTGTTTTTGCATACACAGAGACTGAGAGAAGAAAAAAGAGAGGAGAGGAGGAGGAGAGAATTAGAAAGAAAAAGACAAAGAGAAGAAGAAAGAAGAAAATGGAAAGAAGAGGAGAGAAGGAAGAGAAAAGAAGCAGAAAAATTGAAGAAAGTAGACAGATGTCCAGAAAAAGAAAGAGACAGATCAAAAGAAGAACCAAAGATTAAGGTCTAGAACAGTTCTTTATTATAAACTGTTACACTCCCTTTTCCCCTATTATTTGTATATCAGTCTCAAAATGTACTTTGGGTATTGTGTGAAGAATCATATGAGTTTGGTGTTAGTAAATGACCAATTTTTTGTAATATTCAGTAATAGGCATTGTAAAGGTTTACATGCTGTAATGTTTCATAGTAATATTTAAAGTTTTTGTCATGTGACTGTTGTACATGCTGCGGTAAACAGGATTGTGAATTCACTATGGAATGGAGACTATTTTTAAGCTTTCTAAAACAGCCTGGTTTAGGAGAAAAATCTTAGTCTGCTGTGTGAATAATGCTTACTCATACACTCCAGCTTTTAGAAATACTGTGATTTGCAGTAATATTTCTTTAATGTTTACTTCTTACTGGCCTGTGGTTCCTTTGATGCAATTTCGGTGTTGTGCCAGACAATATGTGTTAGAGTGAGCTTTTTAGTTGAGACTTCTGTTTTCTTTGTAGCTACTTAAGAAGCCTGAAAAAGATGAAAAAGACTTGGAGAGAAAAGAAAAATCCAAGAAACTGGAAAGAGAGACTCTGAGGGAGGAAAAAAATGCGAGTAGTGCATCTGCCAAACGATCTGATGGGGAGACAAAAGAAGAGAAGGCAAAAAAGTATTCTAGTACTTGCTATAAATATATATGTATCTATAACTTGTTTCCTGATTGTACTGAGGCTTAGGCTGCTCTGCCATGACCATGTTTTGAAATTCCTTTCAAATGCTTTTTCTCATATAAGGCATGAGCTGTGTTCTCTGTGCCAGTGCACATCCCCATGATTACAGAAAGCTCTGTGAATTACCTGGAAATTCTTCATTAGTGGACAGATTTCAATATTTTTACAACTCATTATAGGAACTCCACTAAGGAAGCCCATATGTAGGTGAATGCAGCACTGTCCTTGCAATGAGATAATTATTATAACCATGGCAAGAGGAGAAGTGTTCTCCAGTTACCAGTTTCTCTAAGTCTTGTAAAAAGTCAAAGTGGAAAGTGTAATTCTCAACAGCTCCATGATCTGTTTGAGGTTCAGTTCTGCCATGTGAGAAATACAGATAAGACAGACAAATTCAGATGTTTTTTCAAAGCTAGAAGAGATTAGGCTGGGAAGCTCTAGTGGTCAGTGTCCTCTCTGGCTGTCATGCATGACTTGGGCTATCACAGCCTCCCAAGAGCTCCCTAGTACCTGCCAGTGTGTCATCTTCCTATTGCACATTTACACCACTATTACATTGATCTCCCAACTCTGTTTGATGAATCTTTTGAGCTTAATTTTCAGTTTTGTTTTCATACAGATCGGAAGATGAGTGTGTAAAGGACTACAGGGACCGAGATAGAGATTTTGACAGAGACAGAGAATATGAGAGAGCACAGAGAGAGAAACTGAGGCGCCAAGAAGAGGAGCGTCGGAGGCAGAAAGAGCGCTATGAGAAAGAGAAGGTTTTTAGAAGAAAAGAGGAAGAGGTGAAAAAGGAGAGAGACTTACTCAGAGAAAAGGGAAAGAAAAGTGATCTTACAGACTTTACCAGCAGCACGGACAAATCTGAGAAAGTAACCAAAGATGATAAAAAAGAGGATACAATTAAGAGGGATCGTATCAGAAACAAGGTGCTGGATTTCTTTAAATTCATGTGTTGATTCATAGGGATCTGTGATTTTTAGGATAAAAGCACTTCAAGGAAAGAACCATGTGGTTTCTCTGTTGAAACTTCTCCCTGTTCTGCAGCAAACTCTGCCATTGCTAGAAATGTGCACTAAAATTTGCTTAACAGTGGTATTTCTTGTCACTGTGTAAGAACTAATCCAAGAAAACATGGGTTAAATTGTAAGACACTGATCCCTTTTTATTTGCTGACTTGTGCCGTAGGCTGTCTCTTTAAGGTGTTGGTAGAGTATCAGTAATCTGTTTGTGTCTGCTGATCTTATGATGCCTGAAAATGCATCTCAGAGTGGGAGTGTGATTGAACAGGTTCCTTAAAATAGGAAACTGCAACTTGCAGAATATGACATGTGCTCTAGATTCAGGAAATAATGTCTTGAGTGTAATTTTATGTACTCTACAAAATCTGTTTTTGCAGTATCTCTGTGCTTGTTTTCTGTATCACTTAAGACATTGTCAGGTACAAATGAAATTCAAGGTTTTGAAACTTCGAAGTTGGCCTCTCTTCTGAGAGGATGTTAACTGAACTCAACAGGAAACTCGTTACAAATAACCTCAACTCTGAGCAGTGTTCATTGTGGTTTGAACAGGGACGTTGCTTTTCAACAGAGACAACCTTGATTTGGGACAATTGAAGTTACTTTGCCACCACTGTGGAATAATTAAACTTAGCCTGAAAAGTTTGAATTTGAGCCATTTCTAATACCATAGAAATGATGCCATAATAACCCTGAGAGCAGGGAGTTATGAAAGAATCTAAATAGTTTTGATTTATTTCAGGATCGCCCAGCAATGCAGCTGTACCAGCCCGGGGCCCGAAGCCGGAGCAGATTGTGTCAGTATGAAGACAGTGCTGCAAAGCCCCCAGATCAGGGAGTGGATAAGAAACAAGAGGGTGAGAGCAGTCACACGAAGGAAGAGGAGTGACTGACGTGCCAGCCTTATGTGTTCTGACTGTCTGTGCAGCCAAAGAGCATGTACTACGCAATCCAGAAGTGCCTTCGGAGCGAACAAGGAACAAAGGAAGACAAGGGGGCATTGTGCTGTTGGATGTTTCTGGTTAAAGAAACTCAGTTGTAGATTCCAAATTTGAAATGTGTTCTCATTGTAATATTTTCAGTTATTTGAACTTATTTTCCCAGCATCTAACTACAGCAGAGAAGAGAATCCTTGCGAAATAGAAAGACTTTATGGCCTTAAGTTTGATAATAAATCAGTTGTGGTCAGGAGGGAATGACACCTGGATCAAAAACCAGAGCTCTACTCTAAGGCAATTAGAGCCAGTGTTGGATGCACTGAAGCAGAGCAAGCTTGGAGTTGCCTGGAGTTAACACAGGTGTTGCTGTGTTCTGTGGCGCTCCTGCGTGAGGCAGTGAAAGCTGAAGTGTGTCAGTCTGGCACTGAGACACATACACAGGCTGGGGCTGTTAAGGTACCAGTGGATAGGAGCCTTTTGGCACACAAGGAGCAGAACATCTGGCAGTGCAGTAACCATGTTAGGGAGGGAGAGACCGTCCTCTTCAGTGGTTCTCTGGATAAAGTAACTTAAGTTGGAGTGTATGAATAAGCTGGCTTAATAGTTGAATATGACTTTATAAATTCTCATGTAAAGTCTCCCTACATTGAAATGCTTATTTTTCATCAAATGTAGCTGGTTTGGGCATCCTGTTCTTTTCCAGCATCTTCCCTTGACTCAAGTCTGAAATGTTTCTGAACTCCTGCCCTCTCGGAACTGCTTCCTCTTCCCTCATAACTTGAAGTATTGTTTTACAGTCCAGAACGAGACTTCGCCAGTAGCAGGTCCTCCCAAGCTAGCGAATTTTAGCCATAGCTGTTTTTTGTACTAAACCCAAATAAACTCGCACAAACTCGCTGGGCCGCCGCCGTCCCTCTGTGCGTGCGGGGCCGCCTGACCGGCAGGGGGCGCTGCGCCCGCGCCGCCGCCGCCGCCGCTCCGCCCTTTCCGCCTCCTCGGACGCCGCCATCGCCGGGACGCCGCGCCGCTCCGCGCCATGGTGAGACATCCGCGGCCATCCGCGCCCTCCCGCCGCGCCCCGAGCCCTCTCCCTGAGGCCGCCGTGCTCGGGGGTCCCGCGGGCGGGCGGCGGGGTGGAGGGAGCGGGAGGGAGCCGGGGGCGGCGTTCCCGGCTGGCCGAGGCCTGGCGGCTGTGCCGGGCTGGGTGAGGCACTGACCGCTGCGCTCTCTTGCAGTCGTCGCACAAGACATTCAAGATCAAACGCTTCCTCGCCAAGAAGCAGAAGCAGAACAGGCCCATCCCGCAGTGGATTCGCATGAAAACCGGCAACAAGATCAGGTGAGGAGCTCGGCCGGGGCTTCCTGAGGAGCTGCGGCCGCGCAGGCTGAGCCGGGCGGGCCGGGCTGAGGGCGGGAGCTGCTGGCGTTTGTGCCGCCAAGGCGCGGTTTGTGCCCGGGAGGGCCGGGCAGGGATGGTCGGGCAGCCGAGGCTTCCATGCCGTTTTTTTCTGTAGTGGTTTTGCGCCAGTTCTCTGCAAATGCCCACAGACGTTCAGCAGTAGTACACGTAAAGTGAAAACCTGAACTGTACGTGTGGATGATTTATTCCAGATTTTGTTCTCTGGTAGCTTCTCTGTTCCTGACGTTCACCTTCCCAATACCTGTCTTCTCTTATAGCTGCCTCTTTGGGCTCCTGCATTTTCAAGGAATGGTTCCCGAGCATGGATGCTCTGGAGTTCAGGGAGCAAAGGAAGCAAAGGACTTGTTGGATTTATGGGAAGTTAGATTGATAGTATGAAATGCTGGCACCTGACTGTAGAATTAATTTGTCATAGTTCCTTGCTTTCCTCTTGTGTTTGTTCTCGAGCATTGTGCTTAGGAAAACGCTGAGTGCTCTGACACACTGGGGGCACATGGTCCATGCACATGGTCGTGCCTGTCCAAGCCCTCTGGTTGAAAACTTGCAGCATAGGTTTTTATTTCATACACTCCTTCGTCTGGGCTTCTTAAGGCAACAGAATTCCCTCTTCTCTTTCTCTCTTTGTCCTAAGTAGTGAGGAGAGCAGCAGCAGCACTGGCTGGCTCAGGCAGTGGCCCAGCACAGCATTGCAGGGTTCTGTTCCTGTAGCTGCTCCCAGCTTGTTTCTAGGTGGGATCAATGGTGTGTGCACTCAGTTGGATCCTTGTGTGCCAGGTTACAGCTGGGTTCTCTTTCAGCTGAATCACAGTACTCTGAAATACTTGACCATAGGAAAAAATCACAGATCTTGGTTTCCTGGCTTGAGTAGCTGGGCCATGGGTTCTGTCCAAGCTTTGTGTTAAAGCAGGCTGCAATTGCAGTGCTTCCTGCTGTGGGAGTGCTGCCATTTTCCTGCTGAGAGCAACTCTGTTAACACTGTGCTTTCACCCACACCCTGGTGAAAGCATTTGTTCTTAACATGGACAAGTGCATGCTCACAAATTAGTGTTCTTTCATGGAAGAGACTTCTTCCATGTGCTGTTCTGCTTTCATGTTTAACAAATGTGTGTGTGCACTTTGCTAATTCACTCTGCTTTTGTCTTAGGTACAACTCCAAAAGGAGACACTGGAGGAGGACCAAACTGGGCTTGTAAGAGAGACTGTCCCAGGAGCTCTAATGAACATTGGTCTTTCTGTGTCAGATCCATAACAGCCTCAAGTCATTCCTTCTGTGGTGCTGGAGTGCACTCCCCAGTGTGGGGTTTTTATGAGCTGGTCTGGGATGTTGTTAACTGGGAAAATCTTTGTATCTGAAACATGGAGACTGTGTTCTATTAGTGTTCTTTCAGGCATCACCATGAGCATTGGCACTGTACAGGCTTACTAATAAATATGGACCTGAATGACTTTGGGTTTGGAAATTATTTCATATGTATGTGGTGGGATTGTAGCAATCAAATTAATGGTAATGTTAGTTATGTTCTCACTTAATATGAGGAACCTTGGCAGCTCTTTTCAGGTAGAGTAGGCTCTGTCTTCCTTTTCACTGACTGTAAACCTTCAGGAGCAAAGCACCAATTAAAAAAAAAGTCAAAATCAGACCTGAAGAAAATCTCTTACAAAATGCAGTACTGTAGAGTGCAGTGCATGTCTGTGTATATAATATATTATTAATTATATAATATTAACATGAGTTTTGCTGAGGAGTCTGTGTTGGTTTGATAAAACAGCACCAACCAACTACACCAAGGTGCAACTTAGTATAAAACATTCTCAGCAGACAGGTAGAAATTTAAGATGGGGTTCAAAAGGAGAGTTTGCAGCTATTTAAAAAAGGGGAGAGGAAAAAGGGGATTAAGGGTCTCTGGTCTCTGGCACTCCAGCTCCCCTGTGCTGGTATTCTCTGCTGGGGCCTGTGAAACCAATTTATTGCAGGGGAGTGGAGGAGGAGCTGTGGCTCTGCACCCAGTTCTCTGTTCACTGCTCTGAGCTGGGGTGGCAGCTCTGGTCAGCAGGAAATCCCTGCTGCTGTGAGCCTGTTCTGGGCTGTGGCCAAGCCATCCTCACACTGAGGGCTGCCAAGGTGCTGCTTCATTCCCAGCTTCAGCCTCAGCTCGTGGGTCTGTCCTGAGAGGCAGCTTCCTGAGGAAGCCTCAGGCTGCCATACCTTCTGGGTTGCTGCTTTTCACACTGAAGGGAAATAGATTTATCTCCTTTGTATTGCAATCTTGAGAAAATAATTCTAGTACAGCATGTGCCAAAGAGGTAAATGCTCAGAAATACACATCTCACTCAGAGGTCATGAGGTGCCTCCTTCCTAAGGTGTGCTGCAGGGTTCTGTAAGTCAGGGTGAGCAAGGCTGGGATTTTTACCAGCTTCAAGATACTTCAGAGGTATCCTCTAGCTCCATATCCTGTCTGGAAAGAGTCTGGACTCCATCATCAGGGGGAAGCAGTAAGTCACTGCAGCAGGAAAGCAGCAAACAGCAGTGCCAGAGGTGTTTGAACAGAGGCTCATGTGCTGCAGCCACTCTGACCTCAATGATTTTTAAAGCTTTTCTGCACTCTTTTTGAAGTGAGTGTTCAGGAAATAACAGCACTGCTGAGAACTGGAGTTCTGCCTTGGCATCCAGCTTACCTCCTCCAGCCTCTCCACATCATTGCTGGCAGGCAAAGCTGCTCATAGAGTTTCTCTGTAATTGTGTCTATGGGGATCTGGCTGAGGAGGAAAACAGCAATTTTATGGACTTGAGAATGGAAAGAGACAGTTTTTTCCATGGCATTTGTGGGAAAACTTTCCTGAGCAACAGATTGGACAATTTACTTTTTATTAGAAAGTCTCCCTATTACTATCATGACTAATATTTTTATTAGGTGGAAGTAGCTTCCATTAAGGAACTTTTGGAAAATAACTCCTTGTATTATTTTCCCTATATGACTGAGTCTGCTTTTCAAGCTGGACATTAAGGGATAGCACAAAGTAAATTGAGAACAAATTAAAGTTAGGTTAAAGTCAATCCTCTGCAGAACCCTAACCAAACAAATATCTCTGGGTCTGAATGTTTTCTGTTGTCTGTGGCAGCTCTCTTTGCCCTCTCCTCCCTGTGAGAGGGGATCAAGAATCTCTGCAGAACTGAGCTAACGTATGATAACTGAGACATCAACAGAAGCTTTAAAGAAAAAATATTTGGCTATTTAATCCATTGATTTTTGTGGACATGTTTTGTTTTCTGAGTGAAAAGCAAAGTTGGAACTGATTGTATACTTGAAGAATATTTTTCTAAACATGTCTCTGTATCCAAATCAACTGCAGGTATGAAAATGAACTGAGCGAGACAAAGGGGTGGGTCACTGGAAGGAAATTTTTTTTTTTTTTTCTCAGTGGAAAGGGACCCACCCAGGGCAGGGGGTGACATGGTGAGGATGTTGTAATACATCTAGAGAAGCAGAGTTCTGGTCTTGCTCTGAAGTCCCCACCTAATTTGTCTCAGCACAGAATACTGGGTCAAACCCATGACCAAAAGATGAGGGCACAAGCTGTCTTTAGAGGGTTTTGGTTATCTCTCAAGAGGAGGTAATAACTGAAAATCATTTTGTGGTATTTAGGTGCAGCATTTGTCAGCAAAATTTTACTTTCAAATGGAACAGTTAAGTCCATGTTTCTGGGTGGAGCATGACTAAGCCACAGGTACTATTGCCAAGGAAATGGCTCCTTCAAGGAAATTTTCAATTCCACTGTTTACTCTGTGTCTTACTCAGAGGAGGAGGTAAGAGCCATCCTGTGCCCCTTCCCTGACAGCTGTAAAAGGGTAACAGAAGACTAATAGGTAAAAAAATATTTTGTCAGTCCTGTCTGTCTTATCAATGGCACTTCGGTTACCAGAGCTTGACACCAGTGCTGTTCATGGAGTTTGTGCTGGCATGAGCACACTTGTGAGAAGCCAGCCTGCTCTCCCATGGCATGGACGTGGCCACAGCAGTTCAGAAGGAGCTGCATTGTCAACATCTTCAATCTATCAGAGCTAAAGCATTACAAGACTGTTGTAGATCAGGCATTAAATCTAGTTCCAGTGTGTTTTGTATGTATCTGCTGCTGACCTCAGGGGTTAAGACATCCAGACACATCTATATATCCACCCAGGCACCTGGACTGGCCATTATCCAGTCACTGGATCCCTGTTCACTCATGTGGAGGCTGCTCTTCCACATGTCATTACTGAGGACTGGGTTGGTTTGGTGTCCCAGCAGTCTGAATATAACTGGAGTTTACTCAGGATCTGTGAAACCCCCCCAGCTCCAGTTCCCCAGAGGAAGTCACCTGTGTGCCTTTGTGTATCTTTCTGCATCAAGATGCAAATGCACCTGTGTAGCCAGGCCAGATCACCTTGAGTCCCTCAGTCACCCCTGCAGGCCCCCTGAAAGGCAGCTGGAAAGAAAGAAAACCACAACTGCCCCCCTAAAGGAGTTGTCCCTGCAAGGGCTGCCCTGGGGAACAGAAACTCCCCAGTTCCTGTCTGAGAAGCATTTCTCAAACACAGCTGCTATTTAAGGGTGTAGGAATAGTCTCATGCTGATGAGAAAGAGGAAGGGGCTGTTGTTTTTCTGAAGATATTTTGAAGCAGTACTGGCCTTTGAGAATGTAAAAAGCAAGTTGAAATCATCAGGGCAGAACTTCATTTGGTGAAGAAAACACAAACAGGTGAGCAGGAGCAGAGGCTTTGCCCTTTTAATGCAGTGACTCAGACATACATGCACTGTTACACTGCTGCAGCAATGTTCATCAGTTTCATTTTTGAGCATGACTTCAGTAGCAATAAAAATAATCTCAATCTCACAGCCTTCACATACCTTTTCCACAGTTTTTGAGGATGAATCATCTTTCCAGAGCTGTTCCTGAACTCTAATCCCCACAGCAGCCACCACATGCTGCCCCCCTTGTGTCCTTCCTGCCTCCTTTGCTCTGGCCCCCATTCCTAATGAGGTTGAGCATTTCAGTCTTCCTGGGATGGAGATCTCAAGGGAAGGGCTGCCAGTGTGAGTTGTTTTGCAGTTTGAAAGGCTTCTCTTGGCCTGAACTCTTCTAACAGGGCCCTTAGCTCTTACTCTACTGAGAATCACTTTATAATCAGCTGTCATAAACAAACACCAACCCAGAGAAGGTGCTATGGCAGAGATCAGGAGATCTCACAGGGAGCTGGAAGGTGTTTGCAGCATGAGATCCACACATGGTGGGTCAGCATCCTCCTGTGGGCATGCAGGGTGTTGGAGCAGCTCCCCACAGCACAGCTGACACGTGAACCCCAACCATGTCCATCTGCTGGGATGCAGCAAGGAGTCCCCATCCACAGGGGCACAGGGCACAAACCCATCTGCAGACAGGCTTTTTTGGAAGGGCTGTCCCAAGGTACTGCTCCCAATGGCCATGGTGCTCCACACACACACTGGAGTAGCCCCAAAAGACCACAAGACCCAGGGTGGCCATGGTGCCATGGCTTAACCACCACTTGGGCAGGATTTTGAGTAGCCAAGTTCTCAGCTCCCTGCAGGTTTTTCCAGCTGCTATCCAGCATGGGTTTACTGGTGAATGGAGCCAGGAGAGCTTCAGCGCTCATGGAAGAAAGCAAAGGCCTGTCTAACAAAGCCTCGCAGGGTCGACAGGCCCCAGGAGTGCTGGGCAGCTTTTCCCTCAGCCCCAGAGTCCACACAGTCCTGCCCTGCCCCAGCCTCTCTGGATGACTTACAGTTGTTGTTGGTGTTGTGAGAGTGCAGCTGGACCAAGTCCTCCTCCAAGGCCCCTGCCAGCTCCTTCAGGTCCCTGGAGGTGTGTGCTGGCAGGTACTGCCAAGCCTTGCGCCCGTTGTGGTCCCTGCAGGTGGTGTCTGCCCCGTAAGCTCCCACCAGCACCTTGATGAGCACCTCGTGTCCCTGCAAGGCAGCCAGGTGCAAAGGGGTGAGCCCGCCGCTGGCTGTGGGGATGTTCATGTTGACAGGGTAGCCTTTCTTCTGGGCATGGGAGATCACCTGGATGAAGCTTTCATGGTGGCCATGCTTGGCAAGCCAGTGGAGAGCGGTGAAGCCTGTCACAAAGTCTCTCCTGGTCAGCAGGCTGGGATCCAGGTCCAGCAGCTTGATGATGCTGTCCGCATCACCCTCGGCCACCGTCAGCAGCCACGCGTGCTCCAGGGGGTCAAGGACAAGGGGCAGCAGATCAGGGCTCTGCTCAGGCTTCTGCTCTTGGTGCAGCCCTGCAGGAACACTGCTGCTGCTGGATGTCTTCTGGGCAGTGGCAAACCGCATGGTGCTGCCAGGACTGTTGCTCTGCAGGAGGATTTCCTTCAGCTCCTTCCTCCGGGTACTGCTGGGGCTAACGGAGAACCTGCCTGAAGTCCTACCCCAGCTCCCCAGGCTGTGCCTGCCCCAGTTGATGCTTTTGTTGGTGTCCGTCTTCTGTAGCGTATGGAAACGCTCCAGCGTGGCTGGCCAGAGATGGGAGCTGCGGGCCGGGCCGCCCGCTCGGGGCTGGGCGCCATCCAGGAAGGAGAACCTCCCGGAGATGCCAGCCACTTTCTGCTCTGCCTCGCCCTTCTCCCGCTCCTGCCGGGCCATGGCGGTGCCTCTCGCAGGGCTGTCCCCAGCAGGGCACGGCTCACGCTGCCCGGCACTCACCCCGCGCTTCCCCTGCCGGTCCCGGGCGAAGGAGGAACCGATCCGCACGGCGGCGGGGCATGGCGGCGGCGGGGCGGTGCGGTGACCTTTGCTCGCTCACGCTGTGTCCGTGAGGCACGGCTGGAGCACGGCCGGCTCTGCCCCCACGGACCGCCACCCTCCCGAGCCGGCACCGAGCGAGCGCTCCGGGCTGCGGGAACGGGTACGGATACAGGGAACGTGCGGGAATACAAGGAAGGAGCGGGAATAGAGGGAGCGTGCGGGAATAAAGGGAACGTGCAGGAATACAGGGAACATGTGGGAATACAGGGAGCGTGTGGGAATACAGGGAAAGTGTAGGAATACAAGGAGGGAGAGGGAATACAGGGAGCGTGCAGAACCGCAGGACCGGACAGAGGCACGGGGGTCCTGGGCAGCTCAGTGCTGACGCTACAGCAGAAATTGCTGAACTATGTTCTCCTGCCTGAACGCTCTCGTTTAGCACTGCTGGCTCAGCATTAGCACCTGAAGCAGCCAAAGCCTTGAGCTGTAAGAGCTGACCAGACATAAACTTCTGATAAAATGATGCTACTAATAAAAAACTCTTGGAATGCAGCAGATATGAGCAGAATGGAGATGATAAGGGCTAAGGAGACTATCACAGGAGAATAAGGTAACATCAGGAGGCAGCCAGCCCAGCTCCAGTGAAACCCAGCAAGAAATCAAGATACTGCCAACCAGAACTTAGTGATTGATGTGGATTGGGTAATGAGGGGTATAAGTGAGAGGTGTGAATTGGGGTTGGGGTTCCTCTCTGGAAGCACCAGCCTGAGCTGTAACCAAAGAACTAACAAAAGACTCATTGGAAACATTCACTTGAACCCAGCATTCTTCGCAGGGTCAGACCCTGTTACATTGTCTGGTGAGTGTAAATCCATGACACTGGTCCCAGGACACTTCCTCTGACCCCAGCAGCACCCCAAGGTTGTCTCACTGAAGCAATTGCCTTACAGTCCCCTGAAGCAGCCCCCCATGGCTGCAATGCTTCTCCTTGATGCTGTGCTCAGGAAGGCCCAGGTTACTGCCCCCTGAGCCCATGTCCCAGTGGCTGGTGGGCTTCTCTGATGTAAGGGAAGCCCAGCCTGGGACACTGTTTGGCTCCTTGCCACCCACTGTTTCATCCCACTGCGAATTTGGTCCTCCTCTCTTGCCATAATCCCCTTTGTAGCACAGCCCATGCCTGATGTTGCTGGCAGCTGCAGCCAGTAGTCTGTACCCTAATTTTGTTATCTATCAGGACTAATTCTTCTGCCCCAAAAGCTCTCAGAAGTTTCTCTCCAGAAGTTTCTTATCCATGACTGCTCTGACACACCCCTGGCTGAACTGTCACCAGGTGGTTTTGCAGCTGGTCAGGCAGCTAAAAGCCACAACAGCCCCTTGAAGCTTTTTTCTTTGCGTGCCCTAAGCTTTAGCCCTGCTCTGACTTGCCCTGAGCTGGTCGTCAGCCTTGAGGGCCTTTCCCTTTTTCCAACCACTTGGACCAGTTTTTCTGGGATGTGTGGGGAGTTGGCGTAGTCTCAAACCCCAAACAACTGGTGGTAAAATCATAATTGCCCCCTTGTTCCCTTTCTGGAGCTGCCTGATTTTGTCACTGGGTTTTGGTGGCTTCTGTGGGCTCAGGGAGGCAGAAAACTTGAACCACACAGCCATGCGATCCTGGTGAACAGTTGAAAACACTTGGGTGGCATCCGGGGAAAACAAGGAGGGAAATAACGAGCTTGGGGTATGAAGGCATTAATGGTGCAAAGCAAGCCTCCCATTCAGGGCCACTGTGGTCATGCCTGCATTAAGGACCGGACTCACTGGTGAGCTCTGACCATGATAAAATCAGGGTGACAACCTCGGGAGTCCAGGGGCCAGGAAAGTTACTTTGGGGAAGGACTGAGTTTCCTCTCCCTCAGCCTCGTTTGGTGCTTGTGCTGCCATCAAATGAAGGGAAACCCAAGCGGCACCAGCTAGAGCCTCGAAGCTGCAGCTGTGCTCAGACAGGCCGGGAGCTGAGGCTGCACCGCCGGGCCGAGCGGGGCCGGGCAGGAGCGGCGGTGCCACAGGAGGGAACCGGGCCCAGCCGCACTCAGCCGGGGCCCGAACCGTCCTGGGACCTGGGGCAGGGCGAGTGCGAACCGCACGGACATCCCGCTTGAAACAGCAGCTTATCTGCTAAGCCTGGGGGACCCGAACGGCGAACCCCAGCCCAGCCTCGGGGCTGCACGGCTCGGCCCCGGCCCATGTTACCGAAGGGGCCGCAGGGCAACGGGACGGGTCCCCCCGGGCCTGCCCGAGGAGGCGGCGGGGAACAGCTCCCCGCGCTGGGAGCGAGCAGCGCGCGGGGCAGGCGGAGGGCCCGGTGGGCCGGGGCTCGGGACCCCTGGCCGGGGCTCGGCGCTCGCCTGGCCCCTCAGCCGCCGCCCCAAACCTCCGCCCGCCCCGCCCGCAGCCCGGGCTGCACCATCGCAGGCTGCTGCGGGGAGGGACCGACGGCCCCGCTCCTCACAGAACGCGGCGGCAGAGGCGGCGGGACCGGCGGGACCGGTGGGGCCGAGCAGGGCGGGGAGGCGGCGGGGCGGGGCGGGCAGCGCGGGCAGGGCGGGCTCGGGGGCGCGGCGGGGCCCCCCCGCGCGGTGCCGCGGTGGGCGCGCCCGGAGCCGCCCGCAGGCCGGGGCGGAACGTGCGGCGGGCGGGCAGCGATGGCGGCGGCCGAGGTGGCGCGGCAGGTGCGGGTGGGCGCGGGGCCGCCGAACCGCGGGGGCCGGGCGGTACCGGGGCGGGGGGCCGGCAGCGGGGGCCGGCAGCGGGCAGTGCCGGGGCGGCGGGCGGGAGAGCCGGGCATGGCCGCGGCGGTGGGGCCGGATCAGGGGGCGCCGGGCGGGCTGCGAGGACACCGGCCTGGGCCTCCCGCGGGTTCCGAGAATCGGTTCGGAGCGGCGGCGGCGGCGGCTCCCGGAGGGTCGGGCTTTGGGGGCCGACCCGAGGGGAGCTGGGGTTACCTGGGGTAGAGGATGTTGGGGTCCCCCCCGCTGCAGCCCGGCCCGGCGACCTTGGGCTGCCCGCAGCGCGGCGGGCCGGGGGTCCTGCCCCGCCGGTGCCCCGGGCCTGGCCCGGCTACGGCCGGACCTGCCGCGCCGGCCGGGCTGCAGCGCTGGGGAGGCCGGGCCGTGCATCCCTTACCCAGGGCTGGGCGCCCCTCGGCACGGCAATGGCATCCCTGCCTCTCCGAGGATGCTGCTCTCCTCCCAGAGAAACCCTCAGCCCGTGCTCGGTGATGCGGAAAAGGGAGCTCTCCGGTCTGGCTCCGTGTCCCGCGGAGGAGCTGCGGGAGCCAAACACCAGCCCCGTGTCCCCGCTGCGCTTTGTCCCCGAGGGTCCCCGGTCGTGCCACCGGCCGCTGCCGGGCTCGCCCGCCTGCCTAGCGCGGCACAAGATCCCTGTGTGTGTGCGGAGAATTATCCAGAAGAGGAGCAGAGGGAGTTGAGCCACCTCTGCGCTTGTCAGAGACATGTTAAGGAGGCATCTGTAACGCGTTTGCATGTGGAAAGGTTTTGTCTGTGGTTTGATGGGCTTCCAACTTTCATGTCCGTGTGTTAATACAGAAGTAATAGTTGAGGTGAATGCTTTCCAGTTTTGTCTTCAAAGCAGTATGTTTTAGCATGGTCCTAATCTTGCTGAACGGGTAGATGTAGCCATTCCTTGCCAGTTTGTGATGTTATTTCCTCCTGGACATACCCATTGCCTTGTATGTGACTGCCAAAATATGTAAAGTGACTCAGTTGCTCCCCTGTCTTTTAGAGAAATTGAGTTTTATGCTTTCCTAAGATAATGTACAGGAGTTTGAGACATTTGCTTGTGGCCTGGAATGAATTTATGGTTCTACACAGCCTTGCTTTGGAGCTAAAAGGGAAAGCTGGCTGTGAGACAGACTTGAAATTAGTCCTTTTACAAACAGATAACTTGTCAGCCAAGGTCTTGGGCATCTGGTCATGTCTGGTTTGTGGAGCAGTAATGTCCTGGTGGTGCAGAGGGCTCTGTGCGTGCCAACAGGGTTGAAGGTGTGAGAGCTGGGTCTGGGTCTGGGGAGGAGCTGGAATTACCACCCTGCCATTGTCCCAGAGAACCCTTGATCAAGCTCACACTCACTGCAGGGATAGTCAGTGAAACCCCCTTCTCCCCAGGTGGGCAGGGTGGCCTTGTCACCACCAAGCTGAGTCCCTTCTGTCCTCTGCCAGCGGGGAGGATGGGGGCACAGGAGCCTCTTGCCAGGCACTGTCCAGCTCCCCGTATCCAGCAGAGGTCAGGAACATGATTGAGACTGCTGATAGTGATATGTATCTTCTAACTGCTGACTTCTCCTGGGAATGTGTCCAAACTGCATGGCATTTCTGCAGCCTTTTGTCAGGGGCATAAAGAAGTGTAATCTTAAGAGCTGTCAGAATTTGAGATTTCGGAAGCACTTGACTGTTTGTGAATGTTGAATGGCTGAGTGATGCAGTGGGTCTGGAGAGGGTGGTTGATGGTCAGGACCTTTGGTGAGACACTTCTTGCTCTCCATGGGGCCTGATTCAAAACTATTTCCCTCCCACTTTTCTGGTGTTTTATGTTCTCGATGATCTTTTATCAGCTGAGCAAGGAAAAATAACAAAGTCTTTATCTAGACTTTACATTCCTGATTTACATTTATCTCATAGAGGATAGAGGATGTTTACACTGTCTGCTGGATAATTCTTTCATTACATAGGAGAATTACATACTTGTACAAGTGAGAAATAATTGGTACAAGTGTTGCTCTAATTTGCTGTTTAATCAGAACCAAATGCAGTCTGGGGAAGTGAATGCCATAACTCCAAGGTCACGAGAAGGGATCTGATGTTGTTCTGGCTTAAAGACAATGTGAAAAACTGTGGTGTGGAAACCTGAGTTCAGGTTCTGCCTTGCTTTGCCATTTCACTTCTTGTGCAAGAGTTGTCTCAGGTTTGGGGTTGAGCCCCAGGTTTCAGCATTAAGGGCAGCAGAGGGGCAGGAGGTGGCTGCTGTGAGCCCTGGCAGCAGTGGTGGAGCTCTGTGAGTGTTGCTTTATTTGGTTTTGTTGCAGGATGGTGCTGCTGTGTTGATTGTGGCAGTCTGGAAATCTTTCTAAGGGAGTCTCCAAGGCCTCAGGGTTTGAAGTGGGAAGAGGTGAGAAATTGTGTGAGAAGTACTAAGTGTCAGTTGTCAGTGTCCTAAACAGAAACACTCAACTGATGAAATATTGTTCTGCAACCTCTGAGAGCAGTTTTGTGCTGTGTGGGCCTCATTTGGACACTGGATCCCTTGGGTTCAGAGCTGTAACATTCTTTATTTTCTTTGCTGTGCTCTGCCTGAATATCACCAAGTGGAGGCCTTGCCTTTGCCATGGAATTCTTTCTCATCATTCCTTTAGACCTGGGCACAGACACAGTCCCGAATGTGCAGTGTTGACATTTGCAGTGAGCAGCCCCATTGCCTGTGCTCTGCTTTAGCTCCACAAAGAGGCAGTGGCTTCTCAGGGCTCTGGGGACAGGAGGTGACAGTGCTGTACCTGCTTGTCCTGCTAAGCAGATCAGGGCACAGTTGTGCATTCAGCAAGATTTCCCTCTAATCGTATTTTCATCCCAGGGACCCTGGAGTGATTGAAACACCTGAAGACTAAAACTTGCCCCTTTTATGTAAACTGATGGTTAATGGATGGTGCTTTCAGGCTTGGGACCATTCATTATAACATCTTTGTATTTTCCATACGATTCTGATAGTTTCCTGTAAGAATTAGAGTAGGTGGTGGTGGCTTCTGTGGCATGGAGAAGCCCTTACAAAAGGCTTTATAAATCCTTCTAAGAAAGGAAAAAGTAAAATAGCTTATCCAAGTGGCTGCTCCTTACTCTCCTTACTTTCACTCTGCAATAGCCCTGCCTGGTAATACAGCAAGAGAATGTGTTGCTCTTTTTGTTTTTTTAATCTTGTTTGTGACAAACACGCTTTACTTCCTCCCAAGCAACAAGAGCCCCTTCTGTCTAGGCAGGGGGCACTCTGTGTGTGTGGGGAAAAAAAGGCATCTGGTATCTTGGTGTGGTGCCAGTGTTCACACTGGCTTTCCAGAGATTCCATCTTTGTCTTCATTCCAAGAAGATGTAACCTTAAAATAGACAGCACAAAGGACTCTCAGCCATCCAGCACTCACTGATGCTCCTGGAAAAAGCCTTCAGGCATGCAGTAGTTAAACTTTGCTTACCTTGTTGGTACCTCTTTATATGTTTTAAATTTGATCTGGTTTGGATGAATGATGGAAGACTGTCTTGAACACCTTATCAGCAAAAAGCTTATAAGCTTAACTTATTCTCCTTCAGTGTTGAACAAGGGGATCCAAACCTACATTTAATATACACCCAGGATGACTAATCAGTGTGTTCATATGTTGTTTATGGTGGTGCTGTTTATATATAGCAGTGCTCCTGTACAGAGACACCACTTGGTGCTCGAAGACTGGTGACTTGCACTGTTTCTTGGTGGATCACACAGAAAATGTTTCTTTTCTCTCCACTGGTTTGGTAATTACTGTCAGCTTTCTGATGAGTGTCAAAACCAGGCTGATCTTAAAATCTGATCTTAAAATGTTATTTCTTTTTTTTTTTTTTTTCCCACTGCATCCAGTCTCTTGATGCCTTGGCCAAGGAGGCTGTAGATTTTTAGGCAGAGTAGCACAATCTACATCATGGCTGTGTACTTAACATGGAGGCTTAGCTGCTGTGACTGGAAATCCCATTTTGCAGTAGTTGTTTCCTGGCCTGTACCAGATGTGAACTGTGGTTTAGCTGCATTGTAAAACCACAGGTGACTAGAAAAAGAACCTACAGGAAATGACTTGCATGCTGAATTCTGTGTGATGGCAAATGCCTCCTCTTAGCTGAGAACGGTTTAACTTCCACAATTTATTTTGTTCCATCTGGATCACACTTATATTTAGGGATGAGGGGATGATTTGTTCTTAATGAGAGCCCACACTCCTGCCCACGCTTCCTGGGGAGAGTAGTGTTCAAACAGTCTTCCAGTGGTGTGGTTTTAGGGCTGGGTATTTCAAATACACTTGATATTTCTCCTTCCCCAGGAGGTGTCTCGGGTCGTTCTCTCTCGCACCTTTGTGGGCTCTGTCCCTCCCTCTGTTCTTCACCAGGACCTGGGGCTGTCACTGCAGATCCAACACTGCCATGAGATTCCCCAGGGCTGGGGTTTTGTTTGGGTGAATGCAGTTTAGGAGGGTTTGAGTCACAAAATCTGTGTGTCTGACACTCTCACTTTCTTCTGCTTTAGCTGGTTCTGCATTACTGGGCCTCACAGCTGCATTGTCAGTAGGCAAAACCAGAATCTGCTGGGCAGCCTGAGTGCCTTCCTCATGAACATGTCATTGGGAGGGAAGGTGCTCAGGAATTAATGAAGTGCCATATTTGGTGAACATCTTGTCAAGAAGAGTCAGACTAATACACAAAATATGGCTAAGGGGAAACATATTTACACATCTCAGGCTGGTAAATGTGGTTAATTATTGAAGTGTATTTGGAGCCTCATATCTGAAAAAAAAACATTCCAAACCCACAACAGCAAAACAGTAACATGACAAGAAAACATACTGACAGGCTACTGTAGTAAATGTACTCCTTGGGGATGTTTTCCCAGCCTAAAATACCAGTGCCATTAGCAGAAGAGGGAAAACCAGTACTCCTGTCCCTATAAACAGGCTTTCAAGATATGTGAAAGAATGATTGTGAATGAATAAATTCAAAATCACACCCTATAAACTACTGCCTTTTGGCTGTAGTATTTTTTGCAAATTGATGGAAGGCTGGAGGGGAATTTTCTGATTTTCACACTAAAATACATTTTTCAGAAGAGTCTTTGCTTCAGAGAGGGAAATACCTTTTTGGGGCTGCAGGAGGACAGCTCTGCAGTACACACCAATACAGGGGTGCAGCACGGGCTCCTCATTTTGTCTGGTGCCATTTCTGAGGCTGAGCCTCTGTGTGTTGTGTTTTCCTCTTGGCTGGGCAGGGTTGGCTGCCTTGGCACAGACTGGCCAGGTGAACATTCCTCACCCCCTCCAAAGCCCACGGCTGTTCTGGGCATGGAGCACCCCGTGTTCTGCTGGGCTGTGGAGACCAGGTTGAGCACAGGAGAGAGCAGAGTGCAGGAGCAGCTCCTCAGGGAGTCCTTTGGGTGCCTGGGCAGGAGCAGCCCTTGCTCCCAGCAGGAGGTTTGAGTACCTCCACTCCCAAACCCTCTTTGCAGGCTCCTTCAGGCCTGTGGGGTTGTGAGCAGCTCAGTTCTGGACACTCTGCTTGGTTTTCCTGTAGGTGCAGTTTCCCTGATTTCTATAATTGCAGCTGTGAATGGGAATTACATGTGAGTTCCAATTCACATAAAGTGAATGGTAATAGGCTTGTAGGAGGTGTCATTAATACATTGCTTTGCACACAGGATTCTTTTTGTTTTCAGTATAAGGTGAGACTTGAGTTTCTGCATATTTTTTGAAGAAACAAGTGTTTTTCACCATTTCAGCAGCTGTGTTTGTGTACACGTTTTGCACAATTTAGTGTTATTCTGTCTCGGCTAACTTCAAACATTTGACAAATGAAATGTTCTATTTGTGCCTCCTGGAATTGTTTTAGAGAGGAGTGAAGCATGCTGACATGATTGATAGATCTGTGCAAATCTCTGCTTGGACTGTGCAATTGATTCCAGTTGGGAGGTCATAGGGGTTTATACAGAGAAGTGTATTTTGCTTGAAAGTGACACAAGTATTTCATTGTATTTCAGGGTGAAGGCTGTCGCACTGTCCCACTCTCTGGACACGTGGGATTTGATAGTTTGCCTGACCAGCTGGTTAATAAGTCAGTTAATCATGGGTTTTGTTTCAACATCCTGTGTGTGGGTGAGTATTTCCATTTTGGGAAGTTCTCTTGCTGAAAAGTTTTCTGCAGCTGGATGTAGCTCATAGCTTACAGCACTAACAAGGTAGCTTTGATTTCAATTTCCCCAACTGTTCTATTTTCAGTAACAAGATTTTCTGGTGCTCTGGGAAATCCCTACTGGGGTTCTGCAGTATGGGTTTTTACAAAGCAGTGAAATAAAATGCCTAAAATCACAGGCTGTTATTATGATCTTTCTTTTCCTTATATGTTTGAATTTCACATTTTTAAAAGAAAATAAGTACTCATGCCAGAGTACTTTGTCATGAGGTCTTGTTTGGTTTAGTATTGAATTATTATTATAGTTATTTTAACAAAATACTAATCATGCTTCTCTTAAATCACTAAAAGCTATTTTTTTCTCCTCCCTTCTGTGCATATTTGAATTAAGATAGTGTCTGGCCAAGCCTTAACTCTTCTGACAATTATCCAAGCTGCCATGTGGTGTGTGTCACAGCTGGGGCCTGGCACTGTAGCAGGACTTGGTGTCTGTCCCTGCAGCCCATCTCACAGGGTTAAGATCCCAAATAATCCCTTCTCTTAGGTAACAGAAGTAAAACCCTGTATGGCTTTGGTACCGTACTTTAGGAAGGTTAATTAGGAAGTTAAAAATGGTGAATTAATCATTGATGGGTTTGCTGCTGATGCCCTGCCCTGGGAAGCAGGAGGCTGTATGGCCATGGCTGTAGATGATCCCAGCAGTGCCTGTGTGCAGGTGCAGAGCAGCAGCTGGGGATATCTCCTGGGGACTCAGCTGCTGGGCAGCCCTGCATCCACACAGAGTTTTCTGTCCCCTCCCATGAGAGATGCAGCTCTGGTGTTTGCCTGGTGTTTGCCCACAACAGGGTTAAGTCTGAAACGAGAGTAGTGGAGCAAGGAGAGGAGAGCTGAGCCCTGTTAAATGGAGCTGAGAAGACAGTTTTCCTTACAGCCACATCTTACATTCCCCTGAGATGATAAACTTTGCTGACAAGTGGAGGTCACTGTCAGGCTGAGTCTCTGGGTGATTTCCACAGTACATGAATGTGATATGACCTAAGGAAACTCCCGTCCCCAGGACTGAAGTCTAAAACTGTTTCCTTTTCCACTTACTGGGCTGCAATGTTTTTTTTACAAGTTCTAGGTATAGCAGTGGGTGCCTCCTGTAGTTATATCTTCACTTTGATGTGTGGAGAGGAGTTGAATGCCTGTGCTTTCTTCTTTGCAGGGCAGAAATTGAATACATTAATCACTTGTTGAGGTGAATAACAAGGACTCGCCAAGATAAATGTACATTAGTTACTAATGTCAGTTTTTTTATTAATATTAATAACACAATCTTGAAATAAAGAAACTTTATAGAAAAATATAATAAACTTCATTAGAAAAAGATTTGCAAATCTTTACCCCCACACTTAAACATGCTGGAGAATAAAAACCAAAAATTCCCAGTGTTCATCTGTCATTTATTCTGTGGGATTTCACTTGTACAGCAGAGTTTGGGATGAAAAGTTGAAAGAACAAGGAAGCAAATGAAGATTGGATGAGGATCCTGTAGACAGCCCACTAAGCATGACAGAAAGGGACTTCTTTCCCCCCATTTTTTCAGCTGTGTGTGGCATCTGTTGGAGGAAAAATCCAGTGATAATTCTACTCTTTGTCATACTGGATCTGAGCCACTGATTCCTGCAGCTCTTGCTGGAGAAGCCAAGGAAAGCTTCAGAAATGACTCTCAGCAGCATGTCCAGAGTGGAGCAGTTTTTAGCTCTTCCCATGCTGAAAGCTGTCTCCCCTGTGAGCCTAGAGCCAAAGCTAGAATGAATGAGAAAACCTCTCATTAGATGTTAGGGGTTGCAGATGGTTTCTCTGCTCTTTTATTTCTCAGCACCATTTTCTTCCTAAACCTTGCATGATAAATTTTTAGTTGTCTCTTAGTTCAGTGCAAAGGCTAGAGAAGTGTTTAATGGCTGGGACTTTCTGTGCTGACTGTATTGCTCAGTGAGATAGGGGGAAAAGAGGAGGAACAGGCTGCTGGTTTTTGATGTAAACTTTCTCAGTTTTTGCCAGGGTGGATTGTAGTTGCATTAAACTAGTATCCCAATTTAAGCAGGATTTTGCTTCTTCCTCTCTCCCAGGATTTGCAGGGAATTTGTTCTAACTGGCCTATTCAGTGCAATGAGAAAGGCTGTTTTGTGGCAGAAATACTTCTCTCTCCCCCAGGACTGTTTGAGGTCTGTCTCTCCAAAGGAGTGAGCCTGTGATGTGCAGGGCTCTCACCCTGGGGAGGGAGGGAGGGAGGGATGTGCACAGGATTCCTGGTGCTCTCCAGCAGGCAGCTCTCTGGGGTGATGAGCTGTACAGCCTGGAAATTGCCCAGTGCTTGTTTCTGTGGTCACTGGTGCACCCAGCTGAGGAGAGAACAGTTTCTCTAATCAAAAATCCATCTGTCTCCTCAGCCTCAGCCTTCTCCTGCCCAGTGCCCTGGGGTGGACACCAGGAGCTGGGTGCTCCCCTGAGCTGCTGTTTCAGTGTATTTTGTGAGCCCTTGTTGCCCTCCTTGCCCCTGCAGCCCAGCCTTTGCCTGGCTGTGGGGAATTGTGTGGTGTCTCTGCCTGCCTGTCACATGGAACAAACCATTTTCCCCTCTCTCCTTGAGAGATGGCCTTATCAGTCTGAGTTGCCTCAGGGCTTGTCTCAGCAAACCTGCTACATTGGATTAGCTCCCATTTCTACACATGAAAAGGCTGTGCATGCATATACATTTTCTTTAAAATTGAATTATTTGATATCTGGAGCCACAGTTGTTAATCTTGTGAGGGGCAGGTGCTGCTCTCTCATGAAAGGAAGCTCTTGTGAAAGCTGCTCCTGCCTTTGAACAGGGAAATACTCCAAGGACTCCTCTGTCCTCCCACAGAGTCGATTGATGATGATGTGATTGGGGCCTCTTAAATCCTGAGTGTTGTGGGAAAGGGAGGCAGTGAGCAGTTGCTTGTTTCACTTAGCACATGCTAGGGAAAAGCAAATGAAATTTCCAGGCACAAAAGAAGGAGGTACAGCTTTTGTGGTGCATAATTCAGCTCACCGCTGCAGCTGCTTAGGATGCTAAAAGTTCTGTGAGAAGAAGCCATGACAGTTCATTCAGCAGGAAGATGCCTGACTTGGTTTGGGGAGTTAGGAGCTTGTCCCAGCTGTAGGTTTGCAAGTGGTGCCACCACTGTTCCATCACTGTGGGATTTGGTGAGGCTTCCCCAGAGCAGTGAAGGTACCACGTGCACGTGGAGTTGGAGCAGGGAACGTCTCAGGAGAAGGAGAGGCTGTGTGGGGAGCCCAGCACAGCCAGGCTGTTGGGCATGAAGAGTGTTTGGTGCTTTCTGAGCACTGATGTAGGGCTGCTGCCTGTCCAGAACCTGCAGTGGTGGCTCTGGCCATTTTTTTTAAATGTCCTTGAAAATTGTCAGTCTTAACAGCAAAACTCCATCCCATGATGAAAGGTACAACACTCAAGCTTTTCCATTGCTGTCACATCTTCCTGGTGCAGAACTCCACCGTAAAGGTCACTCTCTCTGCCCTGTCCTCCCCAGAGAGCTTTGTCTGCCCTGTTTTGGGACAGCAGACCCTGTCAAGTTGCATAATCCCTAAGTACGGTTTTGGAGATAAATCACATGTGTCCATAAGCCTGACATCAGGGAATAATCTCCCTGCCAGGGATGCCTCTCACTCAGTTTGTGTACACTGCTGCTTTTTTTCAAAGTAATTCTGCCTCTTTTAATCCCTGTTCGTCATTCCTGTTTTTTGGGGAAGATTCCAGTGCCATTGGCTGCAACAAGCACAGACCACTTGTCCTTTTTATCAGACCATCTGTTCCATCTGGACTCCTGTCCTTACAAGAAGCAGTTGGCACCATTCACTTCTTTCAGCCAGCAAAAAGTTGCCTTTGTGTGAGGCAGAAACTCACAGAAGATTCAAAAATTCTTCCTTCTGTCGATTTGGCCTTCAAAATAGCACTGCTCCCTATCTCTGCTCATATTTAACACAGCAGAACACTTTATTAGTGTCTTCAGTGTTTTACTATTTCATGTCACTCTGTCAGTGCTAACATTCTTTCAGCTGAGACAGTCTTTCCTCTCTACTCTGCCTTCCCTGGCAGGCTTTAATTCTGTGTCAGGTCAGTGGGGTTACACAGTGCAGGGACAGGGGTATCTGCTGGCTCAATGTAAATTTGGGAGTGCAGGCTTCACATGAGATGCCATGTTAGTGCCTGGATGTTTTAATCATGAAGGTGTTTGGATGGGCATCTCCCACCTGTGGAAAAATGCCACAGTTCTGATCTTCCCCTTCCAAAAGGAAAAACTCAGTGGTTGAGTTCAAAGTTGCCTTTGCTGGCCCTGTGTTGCTGGCATGAGGTGGGGTGTAGAAGCATGTTCTGCATCTCTTAAACACTTCTTCCCTGACAGTTAAAGTCACTCCTGCTGGAAAAAACACTTGAGATGGATTTAAGTAGGCAATTATTAACAGGTTCAGGATGTGTTTAAACAATAGACTTGGCCTCATGTGAACATCTTTCACCCAAAAGGAGAGAGGCAGAAATGAGAGGTGATTTACTGTCTGCCCAGAAGTCAGTGTGGTTTACAGATGACCTTGTGTGTCCTGCAGAGAGCAGCTCCCTGCCCTGTCACTGCTGCTGCTCCCCTGTCACCCTGTCCAGGGCCTGCCAGGCTGTGGGGCAGTGCCCCAGCAGGAGCCTTTGCAGGACTGTGTGGGGGTGATGCTCCTGCACTGCAGGGCTGAGGGGCTCCCCTGTGCTGAGATGTGCCATCAGGGTTCCTGGCATTCACAGGCAAGCAGCCAGCTCACTGCTCTGTCCCACCCATCCCTTGGCAGGGGCTTTGGAAATGCTGCAGCCTTCTCAGGCTGTTTAGATTTTTGTCTGTTTTTACACTGCTGTTTTCCTGGAATCCCTGAGAACGGCCTGGGAGGTCATACAGGCTGTTGCTGTTAACTCTCAAAATCCCTGTCCAAACCATGGCAGTGCTCTGGCCTGATTTGTGCACCTGCTCTGTTTTGGAGGCCAGTGGTCCCTGACAAGTCCAGGCAATGAGATTCCAGGTCAGTGAAGGGCTTGTAGGAGCAGCTTATTCTTCCAGTGACAGAGGTAACCTTGTGCTTTGCTGGGTCCCCCTCCCTTGCTCTGGCCAGAGCTGTTGTAGCTTCAGCTGATGCATTGAGGTGGCACAAGGGACTGCAGCCACACCAGCTCCTGCTGCTGACTCCTTCTCCCCTTTGGATTGAAAGCCAGATGGGTGCAAAGAGCAACTGCCCTGGTGACTGTTCTGGCTGTAGTTGGAGTTGATTGGTGATGGAGCACAAGCTCTCAGCTGGCTCCCAGGCAGTTCTGCAGCTCAAGGTGTACACTGACTTTGAAATATTAATGGATCTTGCTGCCTCTGGATGACATCCTGGCAATCAGGGACTGCTCAGCTCCCAGAACAGGGGATCTGGGGCTTGGAACTAGACAATCTTCCTTCTAACCCAAACCATTCTGTGATTTTATAATTCTGTGTTTGCCTTGCTCTGCCATGTACTTCAGCTCTGAGTGAGGAAAATCCCTTCTGAGGCCAGAAGAGGAATTTGCCTGCTTGCAGGAGTGAGGCTTGGAGATTTGGACATTTGGATGGGGGAGGATGGGGAGGAGTTTCCCCTTCTTGAATTGGGCATTTCATGCAAGTTTGGATCTGTTACAGAGCTCTAAACCTACAAAAATAAGAAGCTCTTTTATTCTGAGCAAAGTGGGAAAATGGTGAAGTTGTTTTGGTTGGGAGCTGAGGGCTGGAGGAAGGAGGGGAATGCTCTTGCAGCCAGACACAGTCTGCCTGTGGTCCCACAGCGGGATGGAGGAGCAGCCTTCACAGAGGGTGGGGTTCAGCTGCTCCTGAAGTTTCTCCAAAAGCCATCTGGGCAGCTCAGAAATTGCTGTTTCCCCAAAACACAGCAGCCCTCAGAAGGCAGCAGACCAGACTGTGTAGGAAGTCAGGTCCTGTGAGCTCAGAGAGCTGGCTCTGTTATCAGAGCCTGGTAAGGGAGGCTGCCCTGTGGAATGTTTGCACAGGGGATTTGTTTTATTCTTCCTGGGATGTATCTAAAACAAATTCAAGACTGGTCTCTGGGATTTGTCTCTTCCTTCCAGACAAGGGAATAGTTGCCCGTTGATAAATGAAATCCAAATAGCAGTACAGTACTGATAGAATACTAGCAGAATACTGACTAGAAGAACTTTTGGAAGCGGATTTTGCAATATTTTACAGCTTGTGTAGCCCCTAGGGTACAAAACCAGATTATTACAGAAAATGCCCCATCCCAGTGTAGAAGGCTGATTGTCCAACTTGTTGTGAGAAACCAACTGCACAACTTGCTGTGGGATCCAACCAGCTCTCAGGGTTTCTGCATGGAAGGAAGCTATTTCTGTGGCTGCTTATTAGAGACATTGATCTGGAGCAGCTTTTTTTGGAAATGGCAGTGAGCCCTATTTCCTCTCCTGTTTTTTAATGAAAACAGCATCTTCTGTAGTGTAGCTGTGGGTTTAAGCAGGATCTGAACGATGCTTTCCCCTTCGCCTTTTCACCTCTTGCTTTTCATCTCTATTTTCTAATGACATTAATGGCCATTAGACTGTGAAATGTAATTTGCCCAGAATACAGAGCTCCCATTGTTCATGGCTTTCTGTTTACCAGACGCTCCCTTGGGAGCATGAGATCTACTTTCATCTGCTACAATTTCACCCCTGTTAATGTTTGGAAGCTCAAAGGCCAACCCATATTAATATTCAACAGAATGTTTCAACTCTCTTTTTCTCCAATAGGGGAAACTGGCCTTGGTAAGTCCACCCTCATGGACACCCTTTTCAACACCAAGTTTGAAGGTGACCCAGCATCTCACTCACAGCCTGGGGTCCAGCTGAAATCCAGTACCTATGACCTGCAGGAGAGCAATGTCAACCTCAAGCTGACTATTGTGAGCACTGTGGGCTTTGGGGATCAGATCAACAAAGAGGACAGGTGAGTGTGGGGGAGAGAGGCTCTATTGTGACCTGGCTTTTCATTCTCCCTCTGCCCTAGTTGGGCCTGACTGCACTGCAGTTTTCCTGCTTGCTTCTTAGGAGTTGTCCTTGTCACCTCTTTGGGTTGGGGCACGTAGAAGAGAGGACAAAGGCTCTGGAGTGTCAGCACTGCTTCAGCTATAAAGCAGCTTTTATCATGCTGTCAGAGCAATTTCTGCCCTGCTGGCAAGCTTCTGCCCAAATTCATCTGGTGGGGAGACTGAAATGCTCCAGGGCATCTGGGCTTGTTTTGGTTTGTGCTGACCTCAAGCTGCTGACCAAACCACTAGTGTGGTTTAGTGTCTGCTTGGCTTAATATCCACTTTTGGCAGGTCTCTTCCATGAAAAGAGCCAAAGGAAGCACAATAAATGAGCAGTGAGATACCCTGGGGGAGTGTCTCTGGCAGCTCAGATCCCAGAGTGTTGGTTAAGGGATGTGCAGTTACACCAGACAGTCTCCAAGGTGCTCTGCAGAGACATTGCTGATGGGATTGCTTTTTTGTGGGTCTGCTAGATATTTTTTTTAAGTTTGTTTAAAATGTCCTTTACTTGCATTATAGCTCTGGCAGGCTCTGTATTGAAGGCCTTGCAAGGGAGTTGCAGGAATTTCCTGCCTCAGAGCGCTGGGCAAAGGTGGTACTGAATGAAGCTGTGTCTCCACCAGCAGCACTTGGGGCTCTGAGAGCAGCAAGCCATTCACTCCCTGAGTGCTGCAAATGAGTCTCCATTAGCCTTGCTTTAGAAAGTCTCTCACCCTCACATTTCAGAATATGGGAGTCTGCTTTCCCTGGAGAGGAGGGTGCATCTGCTGTCCTCTGCTAAATCCCAGTGCTGTGTTTTGACAAACAGGCTGCTGGAGTCTGATGTAGGACCATGTCTCCTTGTTAGCAGTGCAACTTTAAAATTTCTTACAGGTGGGGAGCAAGGGAGGTAGAGAGATTTGGTCTCAGAAAGTGGAAAATGGAAAGTGAAATCTATCAACAGCTTGTTTCTTAAAAGCAAGCCAGGGGCATTGTCCTATTTGTTTAGCTCTCTGACTTTTTAGGGGTTTTTTTTTCCTTTCACCAAAGCTACAAGCCCATTGTTGAGTTCATTGATGCTCAGTTTGAAGCCTACTTGCAAGAAGAGCTGAAGATCAAAAGGGTTTTGCACAACTACCACGACACCCGGATCCACGCCTGCCTGTACTTCATCGCTCCCACCGGCCATTCCCTGAAATCCCTGGACTTGGTAACCATGAAGAAGCTCGACAGCAAGGTTGGCACAAGGAACTCTTACTGGGCAGATTCACTGTTTGCATAGTGGAAAGGCTGCTGCTTTTCCAGAGATCTCCCCACCTTGGATAGCCCTTCTGGTGGAAGTGGCTGAGTTGGCAGATAATTCTGTAGATTTACTGAGCATTTACAAGTTTTTGAAGTTTGTATTGCAAACTTAGAGAAACTCCCAGGAGCAAAGTTGATTACTTCTTACCTCTGTTTTTTTTCTAGGTGAACATCATTCCCATCATTGCCAAATCTGATGCCATTTCCAAGAGTGAGCTGACCAAGTTTAAAATTAAAATCACAAGTGAGCTGGTCAGTAATGGGGTGCAGATCTACCAGTTCCCAACAGATGATGAATCAGTGGCAGAGATAAATGGGACAATGAATGTAAGTGCCTCAGTTCTTCCTCCTCTCCCAGAACAGCACTGTCAGTGTAATGGTTGGTGGCCATCTTGGGATGTTTCTTAAATCTACTTTCCCTTTCATTTTGTTTCTTTAAAACAGAGGATTTCACAAGAATCTCATCCTTGTAGTGTCATCCTAGGCTAGGAGAGCTTTGTGGTAGGCTGCTGCCTCTCTGGTGGGCTTTTCTAGTCAGAAAACAGACTTTTAATACCCTCCTTGTCCTTGTGTGTCTCTGTTGAGGGACATGTCAGAAATCAGTGTTTAAATCCTTTTCAGCTCAAGGGTTTGTCATTATTCCTGTCCTGTACATCTCCTGATGGCCTCCCACCAGTAAACTTCCAGCGGCAAGGAATTACACAGTTTAACCAACAGGGTGTGAAAAACAGTACCCAACCTGGGCCAGACATGCCTTGAGGTGCCTGCAGGTTCCCAGCTGGCTCTGGCCTCCCCAGCATCGTGGGTGCCAGTCTGTGTCTCCCTGAGGATGAAACAAACTGTCCCTTGTCTTTGTGGCAGCACATCCTGACCATGGTGCCTTTTTCCAGAAGGCTTTTCAAAGGAAATCGAGTAGGGGAAGTTGATTGCTTTACTGCTGTGGGTGTGGTAGAGGTTTAGCTGATGTGCATTTGTGCCACCTCTTGATAAAGTATTAATAGTTGTAGAGTGTTCTGGAGAAGTCTGGAAGAAACATGAAGTTTGTCCTGATGTAGGAGCTGTGGTTTCCTGGTCAGAGCAGTTCAGTGTTAGCCCTTCTGAGGGTGGAATGAACCTCTGCTTGCCTTTCCTTTCAGCCATTTACTTGTCTCCTGGGAGGGAACTGCTGTCTTGGGTTGCAGACATTCTGGGCTGTGTCATTTGCTGCACAGACAAATAATTTCTTACATCCTCTATTACAGTCAGAATTACCAGGTTTATGGGGACTAAGCAGGCCAGAATTTGACCAAGGCAATTTTGCAGGTCTGGAAAACTTGTATCCAAATACTGATATTATTAGAAACATAAGACAGATATTATTCTTACTCTGTGCGTGTCACATGTGAGAGCAGGGGGCTGAGGAATACAGGTGGAAGAGCCCATCTCTGTGAGTTCTTTCTGGCAGTTTTGCTTTGTTTGCAGTTTGACTGTGTGAGCCACACTCTGAAAGCAAAAACATCATCTCTGAAATCTTTTGCTTGTACCAGCTGTCATGAACTTGTCCAAATTTTTGGATAACCTGTGGAACTCACTTCCTGCTCCTGACAGCAATCCAGGGTCACTGATCTTCCATGGAGTTGGCTTCCATGGAGAGGCCCTTTCAATTGTCCAGAATTTGGTGCACTTTGAAAGCTTTGCTTAACAAATGTCACTTCACAAAACTCAGCAGAAAGGGTTGGTGCAAGGAGCTGGGAACTCAAGGTGCTGAAGCTTTGCACTTGACTTCCTTGCAGCTTGGCAGAATGCAGTATAGCTCCAGGAGCAAGGGAGGTGGGGAGAAATCTCACTCCCCCAGTGCAGCAAAGTATGATGGCAATGTCTGGGGGGTTTGCTTGGCTGCCTGAGTTTTGGAAATGAGAGGACTGTAAGGTGAGATCTTCAGAGCCTAGATAGGTGTTGGGAGGGTTTCAGTTCCAATTTTGCTGAGCTTGCACTGGGCAAGTCTCTTTTTGCCTTCTGCAGAGATCATCTTTACTAAAAAGTGACTGTTTCTGATTTCTGAGTTTTTGAAAAGAAAATCCCTCTTGTTCTTAGTCAGCCTTTTTGTAATGTGGAGTGCATATCTCACTTGAAGAATGTGACCTTGGGTGACACTGGACACAGTGGCTGAGGACATGTTCAGCCCTTCCTCACCAGGGCAGAAGCAAGCAGGGAGGAAGGAGCTGTTACTCCAGGAGTGAAGGATGGACTTCCACCTCATGATCTGATGGAGCAAGGTGTCTTGTGCTCCAGCATGAGCTGAAGGAGTGGTGGGGGGATGAAATCAAGAAGGCTCCAAGACCTCTTACTGCTTCTGTGCTTGTGCAGATGTTCTCCTCAGGCACGGCAAGCCCTGGGACAGCAGCGCAGTCCGAGCCGCAGCCCTCTGTTCCAGCTGGCACTCTGATGCCAGTCTTGCACTGGCGCATCTCACCTGAGACTCTGTGGCTGGGAGGATCAGCCAGGTAGAGGATATAGAGTGGTAGCACTAACAAGGTTTTCAAAAAAGGATCCACCCTGCTACCCCTTGTCTTGGACTAGTGGCCAGTGACTAGACTCCCTGAGATTAGCATGTGCATAATGACTGTCTTGCTCAGTGGCTGTGCTCATCTCTGTGTGCTGCTGCTCAGCCAGGTGTGAGAGGGACTAACGTGGATCTCATCCAATGTGTTCCAGGCCCACTTGCCATTTGCAGTGATCGGGAGTACGGAGGAGCTGAAAATAGGAAACAAAATGATGAAAGCTCGTCAGTACCCTTGGGGCACAGTGCAGGGTGAGTTGAGCCTTGGGATTTTCATGGCATGAATGGTGACACTTGTGTAAGGAGGCAGTGGGCATTCATAAAAAGAGCAAAAGCCTGCTGGATGTGATTATCCATGGGGAATTATCCTGTGTTAAATCCTTGTGTCAGGCCTATAGTGCCAGTTTTCTCTGCTTGGAAGGGCTGTTAAACCTGTTGGAGGAGTAGACAATTGAGGAATGTGAGAAGAGATCTTAGTTTCTGCCCCCATTTTCCTCCTTCCCGTGCATTCCTGCAGTGGAGAACGAAGCTCACTGTGACTTTGTGAAGCTGCGGGAGATGCTGATCCGCGTGAACATGGAGGACCTTCGTGAGCAGACCCACACTCGCCACTACGAGCTCTACAGGCGATGTAAACTGGAAGAGATGGGTTTCAAGGACACTGATCCAGACAGCAAACCCTTCAGGTGAGATCCCTGGAGGAGACAGGAGGGCTTGAGAGAGGCATTGTGGGTGCACTGTGTGCCTGTGTGTGTGTGTGTCCTTGGGGGAGCACAGAAAAAACCAATGCAGCAAGAAAAACTGCCAGGTCAGATAAATCCAGACTTCAGCAAAACTCTGACTGGGAGAAGGTGAAAATACAGGGAGGATCTGCCGGACTGACTGTGAATCTGCAAGTATGGGAGAGAAATGTCTGTGCTGCAGAGAGGCAGTGATGCCTATTTTGAGCTTACCTAGAAACAGAGGCCAGACATCCTTTTAACTTAACTTATCCTGTTAACTTAAGGATAAAAGTGGATATATTTAATGAAGGGCCTCCAGGTACACTAAGGCAGACGAAGCCTCCCCAAGGGGCTACACCCAAAATGGAACAATGGTCATGAGGTTTTCAGACAGATACAAGTTTGGTCTATTTACATATCAGGTGTTAATCCTCCAATTATGGCTTCAGGTAATGAAGTCATAAACCCCCAGTTTGCTCCTCCCCAATTCACTTTTGTTTTTACATTTTGGGGCCTATAGGGTGTTCTCGGATCTCAGGCCCAGAGGGATTGTTTTGTCTGACCAAAATGTGAAGACAGTTAACTAACACTTTATATGGAGTTTGGAATTACGCATTAATGCAGTACAGGATTTAAAAATATAAAGGCTGAAACCTTAAGGCATCAAAGGCAGTGTTCCTCTGAACTAGTGTTTGTTGCCAGCTGGTCTCTTTGAATTGCCCAACATTCAACATACAGAGAAGTGCCAAAAGTCATTGGATAAAGAAGACCTTTACATGTGGGTAGTGAGTAGCAAATGTGTTGTGCAAAGCAGTAGTCATGGTGAGGGCCTGATATCAGAGGGTGAGGGAAAGCAGTTTGTCCCAAGTCTTATCACTGGCCTTTCCTTCCTTTTCAGCTTACAAGAAACTTATGAAGCCAAAAGAAATGAGTTTCTGGGAGAACTGCAGAAAAAGGAAGAGGCAATGAGACAGATGTTTGTCCAGAGGGTCAAGGAAAAAGAGGCTGAGTTGAAGGAGGCTGAAAAAGAGGTAAAGACTGCAGTACTTGTGTCTTCATGGCTGTGAGTGATGGATTCACTCCCAAGTAGGTAGTTGTTGCCAAAGCACTTTCTTACCAAGAAGTCTAAGGTTTAACTTGGATGAGGATGTTAAGGTGTTCAGTCTGTAGGACAAAACTGAATCACAGTGCTTGTTCTGCACAACTTACTGCACCAGGAAAGGACCAGAGTCTTGATTCTGATGGAGAGGTGCAGTGTGGTAAAAGTCAAGGAGAGAAGCAGCCCTTGAGATGAACTTGTTTTACAAAAAATGCACCCACCATACAACTTTCCTAGCATTGTGAAAAATCCATTAATTTACTGACCTATAAAGAGGAATAAGGCAGAGACCCCTGAAGATGGATTAGGGGTTTTTTTTTACACTTATGCTCACCCAATCCTCTGTTCTCAGTCTGCACAATGATGCATTACTGAACACTGCCTGTAAGTTGTTGTGGAAGGAGGCTTTCCCTGCCCTTTGTCAGGTAGTGCCACGTCCTGCTCACCTCTCTCCTTTCCTTTTAGCTGCATGAAAAGTTTGATCGCCTGAAGAAATTGCATCAGGATGAAAAGAAGAAGCTGGAGGATAAGAAGAAGTCTCTGGATGATGAAGTAAATGCATTTAAACAAAGGAAGACAGCAGCTGAATTGCTTCAGTCACAAGCTCAGCAGGCTGGAGGATCACAAACTCTTAAAAGGGATAAGGAAAGGAAAAAGTAAGTTGCTAACCCAGAGGTATTTACTTTTGGTAATGGCTCTCCTTTACTATTTTTCTGGGTGTTCCTATCTCCCTCCAACAGAGCCAGTCCTTATCAGGGGCAGGCTTGCAGCCAGATTTAAACCCCAGTAAGGCTGAGCAATATCTGGAAGCTTGTAACATCTGCTGTCATCCTGAAGAGCAGGGAGCAGTACTAACCTCCCTCTTTGCTTTCTGGCAGCATGGGAGAGGATGCACTTGTGTTTATTCCCCAGGATTCTGTGCTCCTCCCTTGCTCTCTCAGTGCTTGTAAAGAAGTGGAACCATACTAGCTGCCAAGGCTAGGGTGTGGGTAGCAGGGGTGTCCCATTACCCTCAGAGAGGAGTGTGTTTTAGCTCAGGTTCTTACTTGTTTAGCTTGAGAAAATTGTGGAAATTATTCAGGCAGACTAACAGTCTTGAATTCCAGAATCTGCAGAATGTGAGACTGCAAAATGAGGGGACAGGTCATAGCACCTTGTTAGCACTGGTGCTGTTCTGCTGTCGTAAATCAGCTTTTTGCCCTCCACAGCAGCAGTGGGAGATACTGCATGGCTGTAGCAGGGGATCCCAGTGCCAGGGACTGGTGTGACAGGATCCAGCCCCTCGTTCAGGGATCTGGGCTGTCTGCAGTGCCTGTGCTAGGCTCCTGCAGCTCTGCAATTGCTCAAGAGCAGCCAGCAGTACAGTGAAACAGATCTCACACTTGTCCCAGCACTGAGATGTTCCCTTCCTTCTCACTGTGGCACATTTCCCAAAAGGAGCACTGTGCCACCTGTGCAGGTGTGCAGACAAACAGGGGTCTGGTTTTGTACCACTGCCATAATCTCCCCTCTGCACAGCCCTGAGGCAGTCCTTGCCTGCTCTGTGCAGTCCTGAGTGCATGAAGCAGTGCTGTTAAACTGGAAAGTATGGGGCATGCCCAAAGTGCTGGCAGCACTGTTTGTCAGGGAAAAAACCTGTGACTGTTAAGCTTGGGATCAAATGAGACAGAGGACGAAAGACCCCATTACAAGAATGAGATCCTGGCTTAGTCTTTTAGTTTAAAGCTGAAGCTGCTTCAACATGAATGTTCTTTGTGATGAGCAATTAGTGCTGCACTTTTCTCACTTGCCCATTCCTTTTTCCACTGCCTGATTTGTTCATTTGAATCACGTTCAGGGGGTTTTAATATATTTTCATACTGAGGAGTCTGAGACTGACTGGGGACAGACTTCTCTCCCCAGGCTGGACTGTGTGAGGAATACCCAGCTGAGTTCTTTCATGCTTAGAGCCCTTACACATCTGCTCACTCAGGACTGCAGATTTCAGCCTTGAGATCAGTCAGGGTCAGGAATGCAGAAAAAGGAGGCAACAGCCTTATAGTATCAGCAATTAGTTGCTATGTCCCAAGTCAGACTCTTGGTCCTTGAAGTGGTTCTCATCTCAGAACATCTCCTTGACACCAAGCATGTCGATATGGAAAAGCTTTAGTATTGTCCTTATCAGTTAAGGGCACAGAAAACTCCATGACAGAGATAGGTCAGTGCTTCAGTAAGGCTTGAGAAGATAATAGGAAGCTTCTTTGGCCTCTGGAAAATTGCTGTGCTAGAAGTGGTGCTGCTTTCTTTGCTCTGTAACTGCTCTGAGTATCCTTCATAGTGGATTTCAGTACTTGGATCATATTTTTTTCTTAACAATCCATGAATTTTGCAAGCTGGAGCTTAATTGTAGCTTGTTTACTACTGGCTGGCAGTACAATAACCTTTTTCTTTCACAGGTGACTTGTTTAAACCCAAGCTCTGTAATTTGCACTAATCATGACTCAGTTATTTTTTTGTTGTTGTTGTTACATCATTATCATCATTATCAGGCCTCACATGTGTGCTGTTTTACAGTTAGCTGCTGTTTGGCTGCATGGTGCATGAGGCACATTGTCCTGGTAAGCGTCATTAACTCATAGAGCCTCACAGTGGGATCACTTTTTCCTAAAAAAAGCAGACCCTGTGCAAGTCCTGAAGCTTATAAATATTATCTCTGTCTTCCCCTGCTTTCACCCCACTATACATGCTCTACCAGTCACTCTCTACATGTGCAATTGTAGAAAACGTATGTAATTATCTTTAAATATTCTGCAAAGTTTAATTCAGAGACTTAGGATATGGAACATAGAAAATTAAGGATTATGTCTTCTTCCTTTTAAATCTTCCCAGCACTTCATTGGCTCTGTTCTCTTTATTCCATCTCCCTTAAAAATAAATTATATTCTTTAATCACACAGGCCACGTTGACACTATGGCAACAATTGCTATGGAGATGTGGTGCTGATGATACAGCCCAGCTAGCCATGAAAATGTCTCTGTCTTTCCTTGCTCCTCCTTCCCTCCCACTCTCCAAGCTGTAATGTTAACTTGTGGTTACAGTGAAGGTAGATGCAAGACTAGTTTCTGTCATCCTCATTAGGGTTATTAGTTAAACTGCTAATGACAGTGCTCTACTTACAGCTAGGTTGAGTGGGTTTAATTGAGCATTTTTAATTTGCTGATGATTCTCTGGTGAGAGGAAGAGGAAACCTCCCACAGGATTGTCTTACTTCTTGACAGAGCAACAATACTCATTATCCAAGACAGTGCCCCAGGGGCTGAGGGGCACAGGCCTCTCAGAGAAGGTACCCTCTTGGAAATAAACTCTAAAACACCCTAAAAACTTATCCTTGAGTCCACCCTGCCCTGCAGACAAAGCTAAGACTTACATTCTCTCCTGGATAGTCCAAACTAAATTACAGTCTACCCTTAAACTGGGTGAAGCTGATTCCAGGATTCCTTCCCTCTTAACTCCACCAAGGGAAATGGCAAAGCAAGCAAACATTATGCTGCCAGTGAGAGGCATTTGAATGTAATTTAAATGGGACCTTCCACTTAACAGAAGAGCCTCAGAAGGGTCTTGCACTGCCTCGAGCTGGTGCTTGCAGTCGTCCTGAGCTGCCCAATTGAGTGAATGTCTCTGCTGCCAACGGTAACTGTAGAACAATGGGAAGAACAATTCTCTGCTTATCAGGCTCTGAATGTGGAAAAATAAGCTCAAAGAATAACAGTGTTCATTCTGGTGCTGAGTACGAAGGCACAGCTAAAGTGCAGCTAGAGTGAACATTACTGATTTTTGTTGGTTTTGGATTGCTTTTGGCAGTCCTCATAACTGTACACTGTTGTGTGCTGGGCTTTGAATCAAATGAAGTTCTTTGTTCCCACTACACAAATGCAGACAGTGCCTTTTTCAATGGGCATTTGTCATTGCTAAATTAAATATGTATATGTGGTACTTTTCCAGGATTTAGAAAAATACTCTCCATATTGATCCATAAAGTGTTGCAGGGCTTCACTGTTTTGCAAGGATACAAACAAGTCACAGTTGATGAGTCCTGTAGCTTGCAAAACTGTGAAAGGATTGTTTTAGAAAATAAATTTGGTTCATCCCACTGCTGAGAATGTGTGCGTGTGTCTGCATAAAGCATGTTTTGTAGTCAGATTAAACCTTATTAACACTTAGCAACATTTTCTTTTTTGTGTGTGTGTGCCCATTAGAAAAACTTGTATTTTTATTTTGGTTTTTTTTGTCATTAATCCATAAAACCATTAACCTGCCTTTTTCTTTCATTTTCAGTTCGGGTTTCCTGTAGAACCTTTCCCTTGGCCCCAGAGGCGAATGCCCCACCCTCGGCTGTGCCTGTTTGCTCACCTTTCCCACTGCCCCTCCTGTGCTCACCAAGGGCTCAAACCAGAGCTCTTGGCTGCTGAGCTGTTCCTGTGAGGGACCCTGCTGGCCAGGGGGGTTGTGCCAGGTTCCTCCTGCCCCTGGGCAGCAGCAGATGCCCACTGCCCCTGGCCGAGGGTCCCCTGTCCCATTGCTCAGCTTTTCCCTGCTCCTGCTGTCAGAGCTGCTCGGGGCTGCATTTAGCTCCTGCTGGGGTGGGATGTGCTCTCTCCAGACACTGGCTGCCCTCTCCCCGTGGTAATTTGCTGTTCCTAAGCCCTCATTACCCCCTGTGCTGCCATGTGTGACTCAAATAACTTTCAAGGACTTTCTGCAAAACTTGACATCCTCACAGGCATGGGCCTGAGTCCAAACCTCTAGTTCCCAGGCTTGAGGAAATCTCAAATTTGGATCCATGGTTTGCAACTAAGTGTTCTCTGAATGCTGCAGGGGTCATGAAGGATCTTTTGCCTGGTCTCCCTCTCAGTGTGCTGACCTGGATGCACATCCTGGATCCAATCTCAGGGAAAGCTGGTCACCTTGCTGTACATATCAGTGTTTCTGAAGATAGACCATGCTGTTTCATTGACTTTCTTCTCAGTGATTCCAACAATTCCTGGTTTTAATGCAAAAATACCTTTATATTTTTTTTATCTGATATCTCTTTAGAACTGTACAGATGTTGACAGGTTTCTTCTCATATTTTCTATTCAGCAAAAGCCTTGTTTTTATTGCAAGATTTGCACTAAAAAGGAGGGGGTTTTGCTCACTGGGCCAGGAGCTCACTCTGGCCAAGTGCAACTGTGGTTTGCCTGCAAGTGTCTTTGCTCTGTATTTCTGGCTGAGTTTTGTTTTTAAATAAAGAGTTCATCGGACAGTGAATTCTGGTTAACATTTACTTCTTTTGTTTTTTGTTTTTTTGCCCTTCTTTTTCAGTAACCCATGGCTCTGTACTGAGTAATTACCCCTGAATACAAGGCCTGGAATGGACCTTCATTTACTTGTTAAATCGGAGGGTCTAATAAAACATGACAGCATTTCAGCTGTGACCTTTCCAGGGTGTTTTCCTTGCTCTCTCCTATGTCCTCGTTGTGATTCTGTCTTTACTATGTACTGGTGGTTATTGCTTTTATTAAACAATGTAAAATTAGTCATAAGGATGCTACAACTTTAAATCCTGCTATTCCCACCTCCCCCCCCCCCCTTACAATTAATGGATTCCCCTTTTTCATGGTCTCGTTCCACCCAGCTAAATAAGGGATATGAAAATAAGTTCTGTGAGTTATTTTTGCTGGCAAAATAACAACGCAGTTTAAATATATTTATTGATGACATTAAAATGACAACACCATCTTAGTTTAATTATCACATAGTTCAGAGATAAAACACTCATTTCTCATTCTATTTGTTGTCATTTTCATGACATCATCTGTCTTTTTTAATTTGCTTTTTATTTCTTCTACTAATTCATGCTATCTGAAGACTAGCATGTAAATCCTGGTTCCCATTTCAGACTTGTTTGTTGTGGCCCCATCCTTCAGAGCTCTGTGTGTGCTGAACCCACCTGTCCTGCCCCTGCTGAAAGATCAGATGTGTGCTGCCTGCCAGCCTCCACAGCCCCCCAGATCTTTCAGAAGATGGGCACACTCAGGCCTAGC